AAATGTAGATATTGCACGATAATATAATAAACAGTGCATTGGCTAAATAAGAGAAGGCGTCCGTCTTACAATATTCGACCAATATTGTAAGGAATACTAGATTTATTTCCCAATATTGCGCCAATATATTGTGCTACTAGGAAAGTACCTTTGACTAACGTTCAATTTAGGCTGCGGTCCACTTCATGCTACAAATGCTCCGGAGTCTCCTTCTGCCTCTTCCCTTTTTTGTTAAAAGGGAGAAGAGGAATAATACTTGGAAGCGTTTGTAGCATCAAGCGGATCGTAATCTTATAAAAGCTGGACTATCTCCCTTTCTCTCTTCCCGCTTCCAAGCTCGGATGAAACTTCCTTTCGTAAGTCGGTAATTGGAGACTCGTTTCAGGACCCCGTCGCCATGCCGTCAGTTCGCAGGATGATCCTGGGCCACGTGATGTCCGGCTTGTACAACAAGATGTGCCGCCGGAAGAAGCTGGAAGGCGACTTGCTCGAGACGCCGATGAAGCGGTGTCTCTCCACCTTCGACATCACGCTGCTCGGTGAATATACCTTCGCGGCCGCGACCCGCACGGGCGTGTCCAACCTTTGCGTGTCTGAAACTTATAAGGAAAGAAAGGAAATAATGTAGAGGGGAAAAAATATATTTCCGGATGTTACACTTCGTAACGGCCTTTGCGCGCGATGTGTGCGAGCGATATGTAACTGCCATTACGCGCGAGCGTTATCACGCCGATGATAAGCCGGATAATGGTCCGGAATAATAGCCTTGAGTGAGATACGTCGCGTTGGCCGGACTATTAATGTAAATAGTGGCAAAGCCGCGCGTAAAGGGAATTATAGGGATTTAAGTAATTCGCTGGACGGTTAATAATATTGATTATCTGCATGTCAGTTAGTAGAGGAAAGTTCTCTATTATGAGACAGGCTTTTAATATGAGACAGCAGGTTTTCAACATCAAAATTTAATCAGCGCGATCTAACAATCAATTTTTTCGCTGAACAGATCTTCACTCCGAGGGCAATAAATTCATGACGAAACCAATAGACGATGCCTATTAATTTAGCAGAAACCCTGCTATCTCATATTACGAGCTGATCTCGTGATAGAGGACTTTCCTCTAATATTAATTTGCTAATTACGCACCTGTACGCATAATGCATCGGACTTTCAGGCGTGGGTCACATGGTCGGCGCCGGGATTTACGTGCTGACGGGAACGGTCGCGCGCGACATGGCTGGACCTGGGGTGATGTTCAGCTTCCTCGTGGCCGGTTTCGCTTCCGTTTTGGCGGCCCTCTGCTACGCCGAGCTGGCCGCCCGAGTACCGAAAGCGGGCAGCGCGTACATCTACACTTACGTCTCCGTCGGCGAGTTTTGGGCCTTCATCGTGGGCTGGAACCTCATCTTGGAGCACGTGATCGGTACGAGTCTGTTTCTAACGAGGGATTTGCCGACGAGAAGTGGAGAACTGAGGCAGTCGAGTTGGATCAAGTCGCATATGAAATCAGCAACAGGGTGGACGAATTTAATGAGATAATTAACGGCAACTCTTTTTATTGTGGCCAATTAGGCGCGGCGTCTGTGGCGAGAGCTTGGAGCGGATACGTGGACTCGCTGATAGGCGGTGCGATTGGCAATTATACTCGCGAAATGATGGGCGGATGGACCATGGGAGAGCCGCTGGGCACCTTCCCGGATGTCCTCGCCAGCGGATTATGCCTGGCTTACGCGTTGCTCTTGGGAGTGGGGGTGAAGGCCTCGGCGACGGTCAACTCGTTGCTGACCATCATCAACCTCGCGGTGATGGGTCTGGTTGTCGTTTTGGGCATTTATTACGCGGACATTACGAACTGGAGCAGCGAGAACGGTGGTCTTCTACCGTATGGCTTCGGCGGCATAATCACGGGTAAGTTATCTCAAGTGTGGAGTGGCTAAACGAAGGCGACGTGAAATACAGGAGGATTCGTGCGATCTCACTGATCCGCGTTTCGCATGGAGGATCCGCGCGATAAAACACATACAAGAGAAATTGATTTTACTCTATTCAAAGATATGTTACATCCTTGCCTCGTCGTTCAGGTGCAGCAACATGTTTCTACGCCTACGTCGGCTTCGATTCGATCGCGACCTCCGGGGAGGAGGCTCGCGATCCGGGACGGAGTATTCCGCTGGCGACGATGCTCTCGATGGCGATAGTGACTGTTGGGTACATGCTGGTCAGCGGCGCCCTGACACTGGTCGTCCCGTACTGGGAGATTAATCCCACCGCCGCTCTTCCGGAAGCCTTTTCGTCCAGGGGTATCCCGTGGGCTAAATACGTGATAAGGCGAGCACTCTTAGTTTTCCACTCGATAGATTTATAACATGGACGTTTCGCGAAATCTCTTCATGACAAAAACTGGTAAAAATGAAAATGACACCGTTCTTCCCTTTCATCATTTCTCCACGGTACCAAGATATCTCAAGTCGCAGTGCACTCCAATTAAAAGTATTACAATATTGTGATGTAACATGCTAAAAAATAGAAGATAATATGTTGCAATAAAGGATTATTTAATTAATTTCCGAAGCTGCGCTAATTGAAAGTGGCTTTTGCATGTGCAGTGTGGGTGCCCTTTGCGGGATGACGACGACTCTCTTTGGATCACTGTTCTCTCTCCCGAGGACGTTGTACGCCATGGCAAACGACGGTCTGTTATTCGGCTTCCTCGGTCGTATCAGCGAGCGCACGCAAGTGCCGGTGTGCAATCTCATCATAAGTGGACTATTCAGTGCCTTAATCGCTCTACTATTCGATCTCCAACATCTGGTAGAGTTTATGTCGATCGGGACGCTGATCGCGTACACCATCGTGGCGATCAGCGTTATCCTGCTGAGGTATCTGCCCGAGCAACAGCCGCCCGACCAATCCAACGTTGGTACGCCGAGCAGCGGCTGTTCCTCGCCACCCACGGAAGAAGCGGACTCCAGCAGCATCGCGTCTGTCAAGTCCGAAGTGAGTGCGCAGCGAGGGTTACTTTTAATTAGGGATGATTTAATTGCGGCGCACGATTCAACTTGAAAATATTTGGTTTCTGTACAATGTAAATTTTGGTAAATTACCTATAATTATCTGTAAATCCCAACGCTACGTCGCAGGCAGCTTTTGTATAATAGATTATTAACACAAGTCGTTCATAATCGCATAGCTGCTGTGCGAAGGATCTGGCAGATTCAAGCCGCGATACGCCTGGATGGAAGACTGGCTGGAGGATTACGATACTCGGCACGTCATAACCGCTTGTCTACTTATCTACACGACAACCTGCGCCTTCCTCAGCACTTTTATGATAATAGCATTCGAAACGACAATTCCGTTTACGAAGAGCGATTACCTGTTTGCAGCGAGCTATCTTCCGCTACCCATCGCGAGTGAGTTTATCTCAATTCTTTTCTCCGACTGTGCACATAGAAGGAATATTGTTACTTAATTGCATTTATTTGTTTGCTCGCAGGTCTATTCGTAATTGGCGCTCACAGGCAAAATCCATCCACCGGGAAATTCCGAGTGCCGCTGGTACCCGTGGTACCAGCGTTAAGCATCCTCTTCAACGTCGGTCTGATAATGCACTTGTCTTCAATGACGTGGCTACGGTTTTTCGTGTGGATGACAGTCGGTACGTTGATAATTGCGCACCATTCATGTACGAATTTAAAATACAAAACTAGATATGTTACATATAAGTTTCAGTGAATCCCAATTGTTTCAATTTTCCCGTGATTCTTTCTCAGGAATGATGATCTACTTTCTATACGGCATCCATTATAGTAAAGAAGCCGCCGCTACTCCAAACTCATATTCCGTTTTGATGGCCACCTCAGAAGCCGAGAAAGGCACAAAGTGGGGTTCCACGTTACGAGCTAGTCCGAAGGATGATAAGGCACCTATTCTGGACGACAGGGAACTGGTTGATTAGAAATAAGCTATACATTTTTATCAATTGTTTTCCTTATCCAGCTCGCTGGTGGAGCCGCGGAAATAGCTTTTAAATTTTAAATAAGCTATTTAAGCTGTCAACAACGAAACGTTCGTACACAAGACTGTATACAAATGCGAATTATAACGCAGGCTAGTGCAGCGGAATATGCAGGACATGTTTCATCTTCAACAGTTTTATTAATTTTAATGCGGTTAACGCATAATTAGTGCATCCGGCTATTTAAATGTCGCAACGTGTTTTATATGCAAAATCCATTCCGCGTTTTTCGTTTACATTTACTGCGTTTCCTACTTCGGCGGCTCCACTTTACATGTTGCTTGAAATTCAAAGTTTATGGAGTATATTTTGTAAATATTGACCTTAGAGGACTTTTTTAACTCATGCATCTTGAAGTCTCCGCGAGAAAGTTTTGTCTGGTACAAAAAGAAACTATTTTTGGTACTTAGCTTTATCTTGTTCGACTATTTACGGCAGCGATTCTTATAATTTCAAGCTCGTATATTTACTTCTTAACACAATCAACGAAGCATTATCGTTCTTTCCTGTTTAGATGACTATTGTTATTACATGATCGCAAAATTACGCGATATGTTCTACGAAAAACTGTTTCGTGTTGCTAGTACTTAACGAACTTGAAGAGAAACATATAACTTATCTTAGTTTGTCTATTTTATTACGCACAAATTCGACTATCGATGAGAACTTGTCGATCATTTTTCTCATTTCACAAATTTTAGCACAAATATTAATTAAGAATGTTCTTTCCGTTGTTATGGCACGAATGTGACCCAACTGTCTCGTTATCAATTATATTAAAATTCAATAAATAACAATTTACCTGATTTGGCATAAACTTACGTCCGTGCAATCGAATCTGGAATTGTGTCGGGTAGATCTAATGCAAATGTATGAATCTCCCAATAGACTCTTATCACAACGATTGTGTGAGTTAAGAATAATTTATTAGCACAGTCTTGTTCATCAATGCCTGGACCTGCATTTTTATCATTATTTTTCTCATCTATACAAGTCACTGAGTTTCAGGCTGTATGCGTGTACTAGTCTGAAACTCGTCTGTATAGATGGGAGTAAAGATTATAAAAATGTGAATCCTAGTAAAACTGTAGTCCAGTCATCAACTAATGACTAAGACTGTACGTTAAAAGAGTGCATTACTCGTACTCTTGATTCACCAGTTGATGTATGAAATAGTAAAATCACAAAGGATAATTAGGGCGCAACACGCCGCGCGATAGAAAGGTTTATTCTGATACCAAGAGAGTATTATATTTATATTTGCGTGACAATGTATCATTATTTACAATCGATAATTTACGTGTGTATTATGTACACACGTTTTATGCGTGACAAGTATAATCACACGGTGGAAAGTATCCGCAACAATAATGTACGTAATATCGATAGAGATCGTTAAGATGTTACAAGATACAAGAGGCATATAGTTTAGTATGCGAGTTGAATCTATTTATTGAGAGTCGTTTATATCATTTTAATGTAAAAACAATTGACAAATATAAATTAGCAATGCAAGTCAGAAGGAACGTACAAACGATATATATTCCGCAACTGATGATTGTTATGGCAATTAAGATACGTCTTAAGAACGGCGTGATCCCGAACAGGAGGAACATTGACAGGCAAACGATTAAAAGTTCAATTATTTATTTACAAAAATATTTTACAGCGGAACACCCTCCGCACCTGTAATTACTGAATTATTGAAAACTGATACAAATTCCTGCACGTAGATGTAAAGTAATCACGTGCGATCAAGAGTTTAAATTCCTTACAACGATAAAAAGACGCTCGCTACAATTGATTCTCGTCATAATGATGCACAATTGTCATGCAATATTGTCATGCAAATTAATCGTTACAAGACGCGAATGACGTCTGTTCATAGATAATTAAAGATATGATATACCTAGTTACTCATGTTCATACCTGATAATTCATTTTCATGGCTGTGACTGCGTTTATTTCTCTATTTGCCGTCAGAAAGGTGCAAGAGAGCTCAAATAAAACATGTACATCAACCCCAACGTTTCGTATGAAAAACTTTTATTAACATCCTGCGTTAAATATTCGTCATGCGTTCTTTATGCGTACGTAAAATACTTTTAGATGTATTTACAATAGAAACTGCGAACATGCGTCGCACACGTCTTCGTCTGTATTACAAAACTTCTACGAAATATCTGCAAGTATTCCGTGCAAAAAAAATTATTATTTGAAACAATACGCTGTTTACAGGCAGAGAAAGAGAGAGATAACAAATTGCAAGTTTATGCGCGCATATAAATTTTATCTAAATGATATATATATATATATATTATATATATATAATAACGCTTTGTAAAAAAATAACATGTTCCGCTTCTGTTGTAATGCATCATTTTGGAAAACATTCGACTCGATTGTTACAAATAAATATGCATATATAACAAATATATACGTATGTACGTGTATATAACGGAAAATATGCATGTCATAATACATATTTACTTATATATAATAAATAACATTTTAATGTTAAATATACTATATATATGTATATACTTTTTAAATATTTTAATATCACTAAATCATATCTCGGTCATGACTCGAAACAAGGAAATAAGGATGACAACCGTTAGAGATCCTTTTATCATGTATACATGCACGGAATGACGCTCACTTGAGATTATACGATATTACATAATGCTTTTCTCTTTGTGGGACTTGTATTATATATGTTCTACATAGATATTGCTTCCCGAGACGAATGGATTGTAATCGATGCACATCGCACACGTTTTCTCATAAAACTGGAACACTTGGTAAACGTACAAGAAATGATGCATGCATATACCCCACGTATGGGCAAGTATATAGTGTGTCCATATAGTTCCTATGGAAATCTGTGTCAACGCGAGTGTTAAATAAATTAAACTAAACGTCGCTTTGATTTACACCATATTGGGTGGCTAAATAAAATATTGAAGCACTTTGAGTATTGCGGAAATTTTTGAAGAATATTGGGGAAAATCATTTAAAGTTAAGTGAGGCTCAAAACAGTCAGAAAAGAGTAAATATTACAAGGAAGAGAGACTCCGAGTGTCAAAAGGACCGGAAGATGAAAGTTCGGTCGATGGCACGTTAAATATATATACATATAAAAAAAAGATTTACAACATAATCTCAAAGCTACCAATTTGTCTCAATACACCTCAATGTAGGCAGTTTCGATAACACCAACGTAAAACAGCAATGACTAATTGTTAGGGCCAAGCAATAAATTACCTCGTTAATCGAATCTGATCGATTAACGAGGTAATAAAGGAACTACAGTGGATAACACCGTATATGCAACGACGCATCGAAGAAAATTTCCTAACAGCTTTACAGGTACCAGTGTTAACGGACTTATAACACGTCACTGATATGTTACCTGTTGTTACGGGTAAGAACGATTTTCCAAGCGGACATCGGTTTCATCTGTAACATATTAATTTTTCTACGGCCCCACCTAAGCCAGGAGAAACCTATGATTAAGCAGAGGATGCTCTCTATGTAGTAACCGTCGAACTGCATGATGCAAACACCGTTATTGGTATTCGCGCAGAGCTGAAAATGTGATAGGCAATCTTTATGTGATCTCACCGTTCTACCGCATAATAAAATTAAAGGAAGGCAGCAAACGCGCTGCAACCAACCTCTCTCTCCGTAATTGTGCTACAGTCATTTCCGTAGTCGGTACTGCATTGTCTAAACGTCAAGGGATCGACAAACCAAAGCGCGGCCGTGGCAGGCCAATTTCCACCGAGATTGCATAAAGTATTGAGTAACGTCATGTATGTACCACCAACCGCCGGGTCGCTCACTTTCGCAAAGAAAGCCATCGATGCCACGAACATGCTGCTTGCAGAAATCTAAAGTGCAAGAAGGAACGTTACGGTCGCTGAATCCAAATCGGACATCCATCGATAGGGACTTGTACAGTCCGTACGACATTTACCTGATGTATAAAGTAGAGGCCCGTCAGTATCGTGAAATAAAAGACTGGAACATCGCCATTAATTACAAGGAACGGTGTAACCCACACCAAAAGCGCCGCTATTACGCCGAACGCCAGCCTGCATCATATAAGTTTGTAAGTGTCGTCCAACTAAAATCTGTCATCTATATATTGCATATCAATTACCTATAAGGCATAGCTTTAATGTAAACGTCCATAGGCCTGGGACCAACGGTGTATTTCGAGATTATTAACGGCAAAATTATTTGCAACGGTATCATGGGCACGGCCATGAAAGCCAGTTTTTCTTTGGGATAACCGGCCTCTATAAGTTTCAAACTAGTTACAGCGTCGCACGCTGAAAATCCAATCTGCCGAACAGAACAATCAAGTAAACGAAACGAAATCAACATATTACAATTGCGTATTAGTAGTATTCAACCTTTGCAGTTAAGAGAAATATAATCGTGGTCTTTATGGTTGGTAATTTAACTATTTCCCATAGTAGCTTGTATGCGCGCTTAATATCCATATTTAGCTCTTCGTCTCGCGAAACTCTGCCCTTGTCCTCGTGCTTGAACAGCGCGATAAACGTTGTCGTAACGATAAACATGCAGCCCCAGAAGTATAAAAATCCTACAAATAAAACACGTTCGTCACGATCCGAGGCGATATCTGGCGCATGTAAACAATAAACCTTCGTTTCGACCGCCGGGCTCTTCTTACCGGGCAGAGTTAGTATGCCTTCGTCGGAAGGCGTTGACCTTAAATACCCGTTGCAAAACTCAGCGGACTCCAGCGAGATAAATAGAACATAGCCGATGAAGTAGCCCGCCGTTTGGCCGACGCTGTTGCAGGTAGAGGCATATCCGACGTTACACCTTGACAGGCAAGTCTCAATTAAGCAAATTTCATACATACAAATACCTACGCGTGCACGCGAGGTTCGGATACTTGGCGAAGGTACCTCTTGAGCATCGTGAGCGCCCAACCGTCCACTACGATGTCCTGAGTGGCGGCAAGCACGTTCAGGGAGAAGAAGAGCGCAGTCAACATTTCGATGTTGGGCGTCTCGTGCTCCTTGCCCAGCCAGTGGTCCACGTAATTCGACAGTAGGAGCATGAACATACCCATCAGGTACTGGGTGGGAATCAACCAGGTCTTCCGCCGCCCAAACCTTTGCGAGAAAATGGAGTCTACTATGGGCGCCCAGAAGAGCTTCAACGAGAACGGCCATTGCACAAAGCTGAATTCTGCCTGCGTCAACAAGCAAAGGATACATTACTCTCGGTTTCGCACGGCTGTTAAATCAATCTTTCGGGTGCATCAGTGTCGCTCGACCAATTGGGTTCACAGAGGAACGTTCTGTGCTCGTCACCTTTTTAACGCCGTCAACACTCGGATCTCGAGTCGCTGTACGCGTACGCGGGATAATTGCGCCGTCACGTACCTGTTGCCGATAGGAAACCCCTCTGTTCTGCAGTAGCATAGGGATCGAGCCGCACAGTCCCAACGGGATGCCCTGCAGCAGGTACAAGAAGAACAGGATCGCGATGTTCTTCTCGTCCCCCCGCAGATCGGAGGGCTCTTGGACGTTGCACGGGTCGACGATGCCGTCCTCCGCCGTCCGCTCGTCCTTCTCCAATTTCCTCCTCATACTGACATCCATGCGAGTCGGTCGGTCGGCGGGTGTCCACGTCTCGCGCGCTGCCTGGGCGTAGACCTTTCAAGGTTATCGGCCGATTAGGGTTAGAATCTCCGCGCGCGCGTCACCGCATATCGCGGGTACCGCGACACGAGGACCGTGCGGGCGCCGACGGCGAGCGCGTCGGAGTCGTCGCGGACGACGCGATCACCGCGGATACATAACCTGTCGCCGCGGTCCGTGGCGGTTGCGGTTTCGCGGGACAAAACGAACGGCAAACGCGCTGTGACGGCAGGCTCGCGACGGTCAAATCTCACCTTCCCACCTTGCTCGTCACGTCAACATCACGACGGCGGACACGCGCGAGAAACCGTGACGAGGGGAGTCCGTCTCGCACGGCGAAACACCGAACGCTGCGTCGCGTTGTCGCGTTGCCACGTTGCCTCTTATTAGGACACGTCAGTTATACTTTGTTTTTTTTTTTCTATTCCGTGCAACGTCACGTGCGCGCGACCGCGCTCGGAGAAAACGAGACGCAGGTATATACCGACCGAGCGGGCGGGCGGACGGACGGAGCGCGCCATCTCGCGCGCGTTTCGCAAAACTGGTCGCGCGCCTGACCGGCGGGAAGTTTCAAAGTTCGTACCGCGAACGAAGCCTTTCGAGATTCTTTCAAATTGCGACGCAACTGAACCAGGCGTCATCCAAATGTGAGCCGCGGAAACCAAGTTTACCACCTAATATTTGAAATCGCATCGACTATTAAAAGCTACGAAGCCAATACACAAACAACTATTGGTTCGACGTGGCCGTGTCGGCTCTGAGTTAGGCTGATGGCAGACAACTATCCGTAAGCGCTTAAGACTGACATAGCCGTAGACTTAAAAGGCAGAGAAAAACGTAAGCCGTGGAACACGTGTTCCTTACGGCTTATGTTTTTCTCTGCCTTACCTTAAGTCTACGGCTACGTCAGTCTTAAGCGCTTACGGATAGTTGTCTGCCATCAGCCTTAGAGGCGGGTACCAAGTATTAGACAGAGAACGAAGATGCGACGCACTACGATCGTACGAAGAGACTTTATTTCTGCGTGCACGTGTATGCATCCACCTGTCAAACGGTTTGTCAAACGGTTGGATGAGTGTTAATACAGAACGATTGTGTGATTAGAAAAAGCCCAGCTCAGACTTTTCTTATGTAACTACAGGTGAACACGTCGCAGCTCTCGTTGCTCGACGCCACGCCGACGGCCAGCTTGATCAGGTCCTTCACGTTCGCGCTCACGGTATTGGTGCTGAGCACGTTGTTCCGTATCCTGCGGGAATTCAAGTTGGTTGATCGATTGACACGCGGCGAGTCGCGAAGCGGGGGTTATTTCGCTCGCAATTAGTTGAAGCGAACGATCGGACGAAAGGATTTTCAAGACGGCGGGGGAGCCGTTTATTTTTAAGGACTTTTCGGCTTCCCGTCTGGAAGATTCTTCGTCCGAAATGTTGTTCAACTGAGCAAAATAGCCCAACTCATCCCAGCGAGAGAAATGACTCGTCGATCGATGTCGTTTCGACGGATCACCCCTCGCTGGGCGTATACTCTGTTCAGATATCGCGAAATCCACCGTACAGATTCGTGAGGAGATATCGCCGATTTGTGCTCAAGATCTCGACGTCCTTCCGGTAATCGGACAGATAATCCTTTTGGATCTCGCAGGTCAATCTGGCGACGCACCTTGGAGACACGATCAGTCTATCGCTCGCGCCGTCCCGTTGTATCTGTCCATAAAAAAGAAAGAGTAACAGCTTGGCAAGGGTTTCCGCGCGAGATCGCGCCGTTCGATCGCACCTTAGCTAAATTCTCCTTCAACATGTATAAAATGTAATCCATCTGGAAGTCGGTCCGCTCCCCTCCCTCCCCCTCCTCCTCCTCCTCCGAGAAGGTCTCCGATCTCTTCCGCCTGCCATTTATGATGCCGATTGGCAGAAGAACCGGGTTTGAAGCTAACGCCGCGGCCGCCCCGATCAGCGCCACGCCCGCCAGAGCTTTTAACGCTATGGCCTTAACAAACAAATGTGATTTTTTTTATTCACTTCGGCTCCCAAGCTGCTTTCAGGCGAAAAACATTCATCCCTCCCGCAAGTGCACCTTTTGCGCGTGAATGTTTCCCTGCGGCATACTCGCATCCGGGTAAGCCGTGTCGCTGGGGCCGAATTCGTCACCGTCGGCCAGTGTCCCCGAAATCCCATAGGCGCTGGTGGAACCCCCGTGCCCGGTCGGTCTGCCGTAGCCCCCGTAACCACTGGCGCCGTAACCGTATCCCCCAACATTTCCCGTGCCGTATCCCAAAGCGCTGGGTCTGTTAGAAGTTTCGCTCGCGTGCACCGGACGTGGCCCGTACCTTCAGTTTTTCGTTAAGAGTACATTGAAAGTGCAAAATGAAGTCGTGAACATGTTTAATATCACGGCGAGAGATGACTCGTCGAAGCGACGTCGAATCGGCATCGACATTGACAAATTGACGTCGATTCGACATCAATTCGACGGTGTCGATTCGACATCGTTTCGACATCGATCGACGAGACAGTTCTCGGCTGGGGCGTGTCATCCCTTTTTTTTCCCCTATGAATTTTTAAAAATTTCTCGACACTCTCGACACTCTCGCGAACCTCTCCGCGCTCTTTTACTTCCGCAAAGACACTCTCTCTCTCTCTGTTTCTCCTCCCTCTGTCTTTCTCTCGTTCTAGTCCTCTCCGAGTTAATACAGAAGACCCGTCGGAGATTAGCGGGAAATTTATGGTCGCGGGAAGTCGGGTAAATTTACCTGTCTCCCAACTGACTTCCTGCATAGACTCCGCTTCCGCTTCCTCCACCGGGTCTGCCGCCGCTTCCGATGGGACCTGGGGGCCGACCTTGGGTTTGCCATCCGTACCTGGAAGGAAACTTTGCGTCCTAAAATTTCCCCTTCGCGCGTAAAAGATAGCGTCTGTCCACTACCTGTCGATCGGGTGTCGCTCGCCGTATTGGGTGGGATACCGCCCGGTCTCCGAAGGGATCTTATTGTAATTATAATCCGGTCGTGCCGATCCTCCGGAACTGTATTTAGAGCCGCAGCAGCTGGAACTTGCAAGCGCAAACGCTCCGGATAATCGAAATTGTTGGCGAGCACTCACCCGCGGCTCTTTCAGTTCAGGGGAGAAGAATAAAATCGGAAATATATTGAGACTTATCTCTCTCGAGGCTCGAGTCGCGGTGCAAGACGGTCCTCGGTTTCTTGTCCGTTTTCTTCGTCTCCTCCTCGTCGACGTCGCCGAGGACAAGCTCCGACGAGTTTTTGCCGTGAATGACGTTCGTCAGAAATCGGTCCTCCGAATTGGCGAGTCCCTTCGGGTGCTCGGTCGTGGTCGTCTCTTCGCTTTTCTCCGCCAGCGCGCAGCAAATACCGAGGACGACGGAGAGAATTAGAACGTGCGTCATCGCCGCGAGTATTCCGCTTGACGGCTCAACTGGGAACGTGCCGGATATCGAGTATCGAGTACTACGCAAGTTGTCCCGAACGTTGCAAGAAGTTCGACGAGCGTTCGCTCTCTAACGCAGAGATGACACAAAAGTGGCTCTCTAATTTCTCAAGTTTCACCTATTTATATAGCAGTCATGCATGGGATGCTGTCGCGTATTCACCCCTCAGGGACGAATGTACGTAACTTTCTTGCAAAATTTGTTGGGTACAGGAAGTCAGAATGCAAAAATTACTCACTACGCTTTACTCGTACTTTGTTTTTTGCGTAATTGCAGTTAAATAACGAGAGGTTTTTCAAGCTTTACAAACGCCTGATATTTGGACAGATTTGATTCGTGTTTACACGTACGTGTTGTATGCACAGTTGAAAAATTTGCGTTTCCTTGTTAAAGCAAATGCCGGTTAAAATTTTTGCGTTAAATGTTTAACACATTCATGTGTTAATTTAACATATTGCTCTTGCATTAATTGACCTCAAATGTAAAATTATTATAATAACTGAAAAGAAATGTTAAATCTTATGTTAAATTAATCTTACATATGTTCTATATTATTAGTAACAAGATTTATCTGTTAAAATGTACATAATAAAATGTTGATTTTATTCTATGTGACATAAGTGAGAGTGATTTTGAACCGTCATTTGACTTATTACATCTGTAAAATGTAAAAGTTACATTTTTAAAATTCATTTTGTCACTAAAAATATGTTAATTTTTCACAAAATTTATTTCAAATTATTTCGAGATTTGCACATATTTTGTGTTAAAATATTAACAGAGTATTAGTGTGATCACTTAGCATATCCATATTAATTTATGTGGACCGTTTGGGTCATGTGATATCTGTTAAATTTAACACAAATTCTTCAACTGTGTGTCTTACTGATTTAACGCCTAACTTCCAGAGCAACGTAAATTTTAACAGGTGGCAACAGTTATTCGAAAAACTCAAACATTAAAAAATAAACGCGAAGCAATCGTTACATCTATCGAAGCGAGCTGTCTAAGACTTCTAATCTAAGAAAACAGATATTACAATAATGCAACGACAGACGCTTGCAATCACGAATGCATTATAACAATTATAGATGCTTGTTACAGCAATTAGAGACATAGACTAACGGGACATGTGCTCCGACTGACGATATGGTAATTTCTACTCTTATTCCTGCCGCATAGACGATTGCAGGTCCGTGCAACTCTCAAAATAATACCAACGCTGGCTGCGCCCCTGAAGTCACAAAGTGTGACCGAACGTCAGAGCAGTGCTAGCGAAAATAAGAGTGTCGCGAGTGAGTCAACAATCGTCACGCCAGCACATTAATTAAGATTTCTCATCGTCATTGTTTTCAACACCTGCTTGCGAAATTTGGCAGGACCGCGAGGTGGAATTGCGCCAGTACGTGGCCCATCGGCCTCGCGCCTCAGCGCCCCGAGTTAACATCTCACGTGTCATCTTGACCCTTCAGGAAACTCATATCCACTCCGGCCAACTTTCTCCCCTGTAATTAACGTCCAGTTAATTCAATTTTCGCGGAAATGTGCCGTAAGACTCCGTTATAATTTTCCTTTCGTTTTTCCCACTTTCCCTTTACGTCCGCTACGGTCCCTCGGCCTTTCCGCGTCACGAAAGTCTGCTTCTCTCTTGCGGTGAAAATTTAAGCGCGCTCTCAATTTCTCTTAATTCCTGATATACTTCGGCGAGAGACAGTCGAGAGTGTCGAGACGTTCCGTACAAGCGAATCAAAGAGACCTGACCTACGAGAAACGAACCCGGGAGCAAGTCAATGAAGAAATAATGGTCCGAAAATATTTCGTTCGAATTGACGATTGTCAATTTCCCCCTGTTTCGTTTCCCCTAACGAATTCCGTCGTTACGAAATGTGAACAGGACAATTTGTTCCGCCGTGGTAGCCGCTAGTGTGACCAACGACCGAAATTATGCGAGTACAGTGCACCCGGTGGTTTCAGTCCTTGTTACGCCGTGCTACACGAAATTTGCAACAGCGAATAAAATCTCGGATCAGAATGTCGAGGATGTCCTCGTAAAACGACAAGATAACGTCCAGGCTGCTGTCCCCACGTTACCGGTCGTCCAACATTCGCCATCATCGCTACGACAAATGACCAAGTTGATTACTTTCCCGTTGGTTAATTGTAGCCTTCAACTTTAATCGAAGCGAGAAGCACCCGAAATTCGAGGGAGAAGGAGGCGATTTCCGCGACCCTCTGTATGCGAGCGTTCGAGCATGAAGGAAAGGCGCGCGTACATTGTGTCGAGTGCGAGTATACGATCAGCCGCGGGAAGCGGAACGAGAACGCGGGCATTAATTTAAGGCAAAACCGACGACCCCCGCGAGGGCCGGCTACGATGAAAGAGAGAAACCCGATTCCATTCCGAGGATGCTGGGGACGGGACATTGGGGGCCTAATTTAAAGAAAGGAGAGGGTGAGGGGGGGTAGCCGCCACTCGCGCTCTGGAACGGGAGGGTTCGCAGAAAGAGATAGAGAGAGAGAGAGAGAGAGAGAGAAGAATGGGGCATGGGGTGGCCCCGGAGAAGATACGAGAGATCGCGGAACGCGGAGCGAGAGTAATCAATACGCATTCACACGCGGTGCCTCGCGTTCCCCCGGTTTCCATGGGAACTGACGCCCACGCATGCGTCGGTCCAGCGGTGATGCTGTATCAACGAGATCGTCTGGTGGCCCGAGTCAGTCTCGCGCCAACCATCCCGTGCGCGAGGGACCAGCGTTGTCGATCGTCGATCGGCAAAGATCTCACGAAACAAATTACACGTCTCCAAGATGACACGATGGTACCAGCCCTCAAGATACACTTTTTTATGCCACGCAATCTCGTTCCTAAATTAATTTCAATGCTCGTCCCGATTTTACTGTACGGCGGGGCATTACGCTGATCGAACGTATCGCGCTGACGAAGTAGAATAAAGAAATAATTGCCGGGTGCATACAACGATAGTTGAAATTCTTCTACCTCTACGCGGCGCTGAAACGTATGGGAAAGAGAAAGAAAAGGCGATTTCATATCACTCCCTCCACTAGAATAGATTGACGAGCTCTCCCGATGGACAACGGACGTAAAAGCCTGGAAAGCCTGGTCCACAAAGAGTACTCAGCCTCAAACGCCGGGATACCTATAGCTATTTCGGGAACGATCGGCGTCTACGGAGTCTGAAGCACGATCAACCAAACCGTGCGGGATTGTTCCCCCGGCGACGGTCATCCTTGGTCCCTCTATCGCCGTCATTCGGGGCGTCCATCCGACGGATGTACGCTCAACCGGCCCCCTCACCCTCCGCTCCGGCTCGGCCACCCTTCCGACGGTACGTGGAGCCGCCGCGACGAAGGGGAAGAGGGTTGCTCGTTGCGGCGCGCCTGCGTCGAGTCCTCAATGACGACTCGGCGAGGTAGGTGCTCGACCCGGACGCAGTTGGGAGAAAACAAGCGGCAGGCAGCCCGCCGTTCCCGCGTAACGTGGGCTTTTCCCCGTCGTCGGGTCGTTTCGGTGAGAGTGTGAGGGATCGCGGCGCGGCGAGAACGAGGAGCTGGGAGAGCCCGGGATCGTCAGTTTGGCTCACGGTGCTCGTGGCGCGAGAAATGTGAAGATGCGGTGATCGCCCGTGGTTGAGACCTGAACGATGGTGACGCGCGAAGCTCGGCGGGGCGCAGCGGATATGATAGCGTGGAGAAAAAACTGACGTTCGATAATACGGCGAGCGTTAGGTTCGTTGAACCCTTTCGTGGATCCACGGGTGCCTGCGGCTGATGCGATTCGAGTGCGCACGAGAGTGTGTCGGGTCCACGGCTGCCGCTGCGGCGGGCGATGATGCGCGTCGTCTGATTACGCGCGGATTCGTACCCCACGCGTATCGAATCGGCGCCGATATTCGCGCGCGAGGCGCTTATGGCCATTTGATTTCCAGAGACCGTCCCTCGACACTTCTGTCCACTCGCGTGTATGTTTGCCCTGCGTGTGTCGCGTTGTTTCCGGCGCACCTGGATGTGGCGCCGAGGAAGACCCGACGGCAGATGCACGCTTGAAGAGAGAACGAGAGAGCGAGCACGTCGGCCTCCGTATAGTGCAGTGTGTGTTTGGGGGCTTTTATAAAACGCCGATTGCATGTGGGTCACGAGTTGCATTCGTCCCAGCTAATGAGATAAAAGGTCCGCCGAGCTAAGAGGTAAGCCTGTTAACTGGATGGACAGAGTTGCCGATGGAAAAGCGATTCGAAGATGGATTCGGATTTAGCGTTTAAAAGCGTTTAAAAAGAGAACATTGCATCAGCGATCTAATTTTAATACTCAACGTGGAACGAGGTTGATCAGATCAATCCTCGAGCTCGGTATATCCGAGTAGACTCGGTGAGAAGCTTCAAAATTGTAGTGCGTAATAATTTACACTTTTCGAAACCCCCCGGAGAAATTCGTCACAATTTAAACGCTCCGAATCTGTTCTAAACGAAGAAGAGAACCTTCGAAAAAAATCTATTGGCCGAAGGAAATGTACTATAATTTTAGTAATTGACACTGGTAGTTTGGTGTAGCGCCAGCCGCAGTTTGTTTCAAATATTCGCTCGGAGAAATATGTATCTCTTTTAATCGAGTGTACCGATCGCGCGGACGTAAATCACAGGCGACAAAGAATTTCAATGAGGGAAGAGCCGTCGTCGTAGGCGGTTACAAATTTTCATCGAAGGGATAAAAGTCACGTGGCTATAGTAGATGCCTGCAATTCATCGTGTCCTTAACCTCAGCAGAAAATCAATGTTCTTCATATATCTCTGTGTGAACCGCACATTCTATATACGACGTTACGCCGTTTAAGCAACTCCGCTTGCAGCGGATGAAGTAATACAACAAACGAAATAAATGAGAGAGAGAGAGAGAGACGCCGCGGCGCTTTCCTAAAAGAATTTCGTCTCGATAAATACAGAGTGGGAACCGCGACGGGCGAATTCGTTTTCATATTGATGATTGTTTCGAGGCCCCTTCGTAAAAGTTAACTTTGCAATTTCTGCATTGCACGCGCGTTCGCTGCTTGAAATTTAAATAAAGCACTAATGGACGAGCGTCCCTTAAGATATGCAGCAGATTAGAGGATGTTCTTTCCGGCACAAAGGGATCGGTAATGAGAACTACCGCAGTGTTTGCACAAGAATCGCGCTTCTTTTACCCGCGGTCCTTCGTGGGTTGCTTGTAACGCGGGGGCGTTCGCCCTACCAAATTGTTTAAAGGAGAACGTTTATGTAAATGGCGCCCAGAGTAAATTCTACGCCGTGGCGAAGCGCCGGTAATGGAGATGTACAATTTTGGAAGGATTTGAACAATTAACGCGGGGCTCAAATACTTTCCATGCACGATACAGTTTTGTCTGCGCAATTCCTCCCCTTAGATCGTTACATATTTTTTTTATTACGCAGATTATACAGAGACACGGTATCCTCCACATATTAATATGCAATGTGTTCTAACCCAGCGCTGCAAATTTCCCATGGCAAACCTCACCTTACCACGTGAAATTGGAATTGCTTTAAGTATGCGGTATAGACGAACGTTCTTCTCACCTCTCTTTCGAATAGGAAGATCCGCGGTATCGACCGACTGCCGATTTCATTTCCGCGATATTCGATGTGCAAAGGCTTGACTAGATTCTGATCTCCCCAAGCTCTCTCCCCCCCCCCCAACCCCTTAACTTAAATCTCACGAGGGTAACGTCGTAGGAAAGGGAGCGAGCCGTGCGTCTTCCATGCTGCTGCTATCCGCGTGATTCTCGAATCCGAGCTGTTCTCTTCGCGGCTGCGGCGTTGTTCCCTCGTCAAGGATGATAGGGTATTCTCAATTGTACAGCGTGGCACATCTCTTGTGACGAGGGACGCGTTCCTCCAGTGACAATTGTCGATATTTGCAGATATTGCGTGTTTACCAGGCCTTTCGAGACACTTTCTCAACACACGCCGTAGATTAAACCCGCGGAACACCTGGACGTCTGCATTAAACATCAGGACTACGCATTTAACGTCAAATGTAATTATTTGCAATCCTTTAATCGCGCGATGTGTCGTACTTATCTCATTTGATACGCGATGAAGGTCAGACAGCCGCATTTAGAAACAATTCCGGAGCGGATTAAAAACCGTGGCCTTTCCTCACTCATATTTAATGGGTCTAAAAATTAACTGAGCTCCTTTTACTTAAATATTCAAGACGGGCTCTCGAAACAAATCAATTCTTAATTGATGCGCCAATTTTGATTAATTGGATCACGCCATTTACGACCATTTGCAGTAAAAAAAAAAATTTCTACGACCCGAGAATTCGGACGTTCGGTAAGATCGATGGGCGTTCGAAGCTGAGATTCTGACATTCGGACATCGCGGCCGAATTTTCCCGTAGGGGAAAAGATCTTGGAGCGTTTTGCGTATCGTAAATCCCGAAGTCGAGCCCGTAAAATCGTTGAAAAATTGCCGTGCCGGCGCGTTTAATCCCGGGCTTTTGGGTCGAGCGTAGCTACCGAGGGGGTGTAAAGGGCCGATACGGCTCGTACCCTGAAATCTGCGGACGGGACATTATCGCTCGGCATTCTCTCTGCCGGAAGCCGATGGAATCCGTCGATATAGTTCAGACACGTGTGTGCAGCTGCTGTAAAATCCTCGCCAGCGATCGCGCGTTTCACGTATACATTCCATATCCGAGAGATCTTACGACGGGAAGCTGCAGGGAGGAAATGGCGCGTCTTACTCACCGATCTATGAGAAATATACGAGATAAAAATAAATCCACATGCATCTCGTGAGAAACTGAAATAATCCAGTCACTTCGCTTCATCGTCGCTCGCTCTGTCTCGACAAAAGATTTACTTTGAACAGAGTGATATCAATTGCATCTTCTAATCTTTAGGGCCAGTTTCACAAACATCGGTTAACTGTTAACTAGGGTTCAGTCGACTCCCTATCTTTTTTCATCTTATTATTTAAGAAGAGACAGCGGATCAATTAACCTTCGGTTAGCAGTTAACCGACGTTTGTGAAACTGGCCCTTAGAGAATTTTAATTTGCACCTGTCTCTCTTCGACCGTTCGTAACAGAGGAAGGAAAGAGCGACAACCAGCTTTTCGTGTGAGCCAGGAACGAGATAATGTTATAATGACATCAGTACGGTTGAGAAAGTTTATTGTAACATGGAGTTCAAAATTGATACCCCTCCTGTGCACCCTTCTTTGATCATGCCGTTGGCGAGTGGATCGCTCGTACCGAGGCGAATGCTAGTGAAGATAGATCGATAACTGTACCGCGGCGTCTACCTCGGAAGATATTATTTCACGAGGAACGTGTATTTGCTTACGCGTGTTCGGGACGCGCGTGAGGGTGCATTCGTTTACCCGATTTCACAGCTGCCGTAATTGAATTTCGAGTGCCGGCGCCTGATATAGGCTCGGGTGGAAACTCATAAGGCCAACGTCGAAGGCCGAGCTCGGCTTCTTCGGGTAATTGGATTTTATAGGTTTGCGCGCGATGGACCGGTCGTTAGGCACCGAGGCATGCACTCGGGTAAAAGCGCAGCGCTTAATTGATTATTCGTCGAGAAGTATAAGGTACATATTAGAATCTGGAGGGATAGAAAATAGCATGCATTGTCTTAAATGTGCTAAAAATCCCATCAGAGAGTTCCTCGAGGCTTTCGAGGGGGTCGCTGATAAATCGAGTGAAGAAACTAGGGATGCGGAAATAGATTATCTTGGAACAGATGTGCGAGGTGTGTTACTAATGCAACAGCGCCGAGGGAATACGAGCCGGCCAATGACGGTCAGCGGCATCCCTCGCTTTAGGGGGCCACCTAAAAATCGCCACACCTGACGCTGGGTCTCCTCGGAATCCAATCAGCGCTTTATTTCCTGAAAATTTTGCTAGCAATTGCCGCCCACCGCTCCAATAAAATCGTAAATCGACGCACTATTCCACTACAGTTGTCAACGAAACTCCTGGAGAGATCCGATTAATCTTCTGTCTTGCTTCAGTAAATGCTTAAATTTGCATATTTAAATTGCATACCTTTCGCACGAATTTGCGTCTCTTAGATTATTCAAATTTTCATGCACATTTAGATATTCAGAGCTTCTTACAGCAAAGTCGTAAATCGTCAGCTCTCTATTGTGAAAATAATAAGAAACAGTTAGGAAAAATACATTCGTCGCGAAGTTGAAGACAAATCGCCATCTGTTTATTTGTTTTGTAGATTAAAACGTCCGCTAGAAAAGAGATGTGTCGTGTGTGCGGATGTACACGACTGATAAGAAGCGGTAGCCGGGATGAATGTATTTTATCCCCAGCTTCCGAGACGGCAACTTCCTTCTCTCGGTAGTAATTCCATAGACGAAGGAAACATTCGGAAAGCGGGAGAATAAGATATCACGAAGGACCAGGGGAAACCAATGCCATTACAAGACCATCTGTATCTATCAGGATACCATTTAATCTCTCGAGCTTCTAATTGGCTTTAGATAAAGCCACCGTGTTACCAATGTTTTAATAAAGCTTACCAGAATTACAGTAATAAACCTCCCTCCGGCAGCGATCTCCCGTTGATGCGAGACGGTGGACATGATGAAATGATTCCCGTCGTGTCTTTTATTTCAGGAAGAAAATGTGGAGCTCGGTTACCGCGGCTGGCATTGAAAATGGACCAGCACCACCTTCGAGGAGTAAGCACAGTGCCACCTTACTTGCCGGTCACGTATACCTTCTCGGAGGCCGAAATGGAAACCTACCTCTCAAAGATCTTTGGCGATACAGCCTTGGTGAGCCTTCACATTTTCCCGCTTATACGTTAGCTCGCGCACCGTCGCGCGCATTAATCATGCGTTCGGGATCGGGTTTCAGCTACGCGTTGCTTCGAGGAAGTGTGGAAAATATCTCGATAATTATCGGGAGACTGGCACGGCAGTATTTCGAGTGGTTTCAAGCGCGCGATGTACAGTACCAACGTCGTTTCTGACCAGCGCACCCCATCGTATTCCACTGGCGCACCCCATGGAACAAGGGTGCGCGACGGAATTTCAACGCGGTCTGATCAATAATGCACCATTATTAAAGCCTACGTACATCAGCTAAATCCGCGGACGGTAACTCCACAATTACGTGGTGTTTCCACGGAGATCAGACATACGTGAATTAATTGCGTCCGTCGGCCATAATCGGTGGCTTATGTACGTGACAGGGTGAGATTTTCCTCCGACCGAAACGTTCCATCGCTTTTATCCGCGTTCATCCCTAACACAAGGGGGGGGGGGGAGACGAGTAGCGTCTTATCTTGCTTCCGAACAATTAAAATCTCGTATATCGTAGCTCTTTTCGCCGCGTATATTTTTGATTAACGCGACGATGAATCGGTTTGTTCCTAAACCCAGCGCCATACTATGCACGATTCGCGAATAGCGTGAGGGAAAAATTGTTCGATTCGCCATACGCAGTGATTCGCTAGCCGAGCAGATCACTTTTTGACAAAATAGTGGCTTTTGGACATTGAGACTCGACTAATTGTAGACTTATGATTCAAGTCCTGTGACAATAGGTAAACGTTAAGGCCTGGCTTCATCAAACGTCGCTTAACTTTCATCTTGGTTTAATTCGTGTTTGTCTCTTTCTAAAGTAACAGTTAAGAAGAGGCAAAGAATGGATTAAACTAAGCTTAAAGTTAAACAACGTCGGTGAAACCGGGGCTAAAAGCTGTCCGAGTTAACACGAACGAAACGACAAATAACGAATTACGAATAATAAGCTGCGAATCACGAGCAGTGTGGTAAAGTAATAACGAAAATGTCCGACGAATTTCTACTAATCACGAATCGCGCGTAGTGAGACGCCTAAGCTCGGGGCGACGCGGCGAAAGATCACGAACGTTGACGTCTTGAAACCATCTCGAGGACGAGCGATGATTTATGTCAATTTATGAAGTCAAAGTACAGCCGGTGTAGCGCGAATTCGTTTCGCTCGCGCTCGCACGAACGGGTCTCTTAATCAGAGGGTATTGTTCGGCCGTGTGCTTGTTCGGGTGAATATTGAAGCAGCAGCGGAAGGGTTGGCGGGTAGCGCTTCGTTTCCTGGGACAAACAATGCTCCCTGGCTGTTACTACCCCTCCGTTTTAAAAGCCTAGCCTCGTCGCTCTACTTGGTCTCGCAAAAATATTGTGATAACTCGAAGAATCACAAGAGTGCTCCAGCGGAGCCCAGTTTTCTGTCCCAGCCTCTTCTATCATCGGACTATTAGAGGGCTAACTATTTCTCGAGACATGTGAGAAGGACGCATTTCGAGAGCAAAGCTAGTTGATCGAAGAAAAAAGTTGCGGTGGTAAAAGAGAGGATATAAAGATTCATTTCAAGTCTGTGCTCTTACTTTCTTCAGAACATAAATTTCTTTTTCCATAAAGTACCCGCGTGAAGTACCTTTAATTCTCGTGTCGCGAAGGTGGTTCGAAGAGACAAAAGTGGCTTTAATGACCCCAAGTTGTTGTATAAAGCACGTATATCCACTCGTTCGGAAATACCGAGTCTCTTGTGCATCGAACACGCTGCAATTTTGCAATGTACGCTTTTAGACAGAGAGAGAGAGAGAGGCATTGTTCCACTGTGTCAAAACTAGATACGACACGTGTACTACGCAATCAATATCGGGCATCTAGTATCATTCCAGCGACATCGGAGATGCTTCAGCCGGAACGTTACGGTCCTTACCCGGGTCTTTGTTCTCGAGCACGTTCCGAGCACGTTCCGAGGAGAAGCTGAAGCTTTCGCGGATATTGCGGAATTAGGTGATAGTGTCGGCACGAATGTCGTTCACGAATCACACATATTTCGTTCTTTTTCATTTATTTATGGATATTATCATTCCCCTCAAAGCGGTTCCGGGTGAATAAAGAGGATGCGGCATGAAAGGGACAGAGCGAGGGTCGTGGGATGAAAGCAAGGCGCGATATGAAAGATATGTGAGATCATAGAGGAGGGTGCGCTCGGCAGAAGAAAAAAAAGAGGAGACGTAAAATTGATCTATTAACAAATTGTTTGATATGAAGTAAATGAGCAATAAGAGATTCTACGATTTGACTTAATAGAAATGAAAACTTAATAGAAAGCTTCCTCTGCGCTATCATCTGGAACACAGCAACGAGATTACGTCGAGAGGAGACACAAAATCAATTCGAAGCACGAACAGAGGAAAAAAATAATAATTGGCGCATGCAGCAATATCTCTAGATTCACCCCGATACCGCCAGAAGAGTATTTCGATAAAAAACGCAAATTTATGCTACTCGAGCGAGCTCTCCTCGCTTTTACATCTCCTGTACCTTCGCTGAGAGAGATAGAGTTCTGGCTTTCTCTTCACGGTAGTTTCGAGGGACGTCCAGACGTCTGTTTTATTAAGAGGCCAGATACACAAGAGATTTTTAATATTCTCTTCGCAAACTGTCGCTATTACGATCGAATAGCACGAGAAATCTCAGATCTTCCCTTCGTTTCTTCTAGTTTTGTTATATATGAAATAAATCTAGCTAAATTATTAATTATGAGAATTCACAAAATATAAAACGTGTTTGCCTGCGAGCACAATTGCTGGGGCGCGGAGTGCAAAATTATGTAACTATTCTTTGCAAAAACTCCTAAGTATCGCATGTATTGTCACGTTGAAAAGCGACTGTATTTTTTAACCAAAAACTGGGATGCACATACAATGCACATTCTGCTAGGACCGTGGTCCGTTATGAGAATGCAACGAGTGCATTAGACAAGCTCGACGTTTTGCGCTCTCGTGCATTTGTAATACGTGCACTTTCCGTAACAGCTGCATACCCAACCCGAAGAATAAGAATGTCGGATTACGTGACAAGCTTCTCTCCGTTTCTTTTTCAGCGGAGAGCAAGTGGGAGGAATTGCATCCGGGCGGCGAGCGGCCGCCGGCTCTCCAGGAACACAGCGCGGTGGCGTATAAGGATTGCCTCTACGTTTTCGGCGGCGAGCTGGGCTTTTCTGCTGGTACGGAAACGCCACTCTGGGTCTACAACGTCAAGGTAATGCTTCGCAAAATACAAATGTGCAATATCGCTTATCGCGTACGAGAAGTTCAGTCGCGCGAACAGCGCATCTTAGAACGAGCGCTTTTGCGGAGATAGGCATCGACGTGTCCCCACACTTTCGATAACGATCCCGACAGCCAGCGTCGTATCGCGTTGAGAAAGCTCTTAATGATCTTCCCTACGACGAGGGGGAGTCCCGTCGTGAAGGAGAGACGGAAAAATTGCACCCTCGAGAAACATCGCTTAATCGATAGCAACGTCACCGGTTACGAGTTTTACGCGGTAGCGCGACACTTTCCCCACAGCCCTCTGACAGAGGGCTAGTTTTAGCAATGGGTGACAAGCTACCGAGGGCAACCGAAGCTTATCTTGCCAATAACCACTCGCGGATCGAGCACGTGTAGAAATTCACCGGAACTGTCGTTGTTATCCCGTTGTCCTCCACACAGTGCCAAGCACTCCTTGGGGAGAATAATAAGCGCGGCGCGAAACGAGCAACACGGGGTGGTTGGCCTCTTCCGGTTACAAGGGAGACGTCTCGCGTGCGGAAAACCAATCCTGCGAAATAAGCGAAGCTCGGAATCGATGTTGCTCCTCCTCCTCGATTCGCACAAACAGAAGAATGATCTAGTTTAGACATCGACCAACCTGAGTTTACAAAGATAACGTTTGTTCTAACAATTTGCCTTTCCCACATAGGTGATCCTATTACCATAATACTATAACTTTTAGCTCGTGTTTTAACGAGGAATTTTATTTTTAGCAGAAGATATACGACACCTCGCAATGATATTTCGCAATATGCAAATTATACGTCGGTTGTATCGCCAAATAATTTTATAAGTTATTTTAATGTTACGTTTTTTATTTATTTATTCAGCATGAGACTATGGTCTGAAACTTGCGTACATTTCAAATTGAGAAGGCATCGGCGCGCGATATTGTCAATCAACTTCGGCGCAGTTGTCCAATATTGCCCTTCGTCTCGTTTACCAAATCGAGGGGGTGCAAACCTCCTTCTGATCACCGAAACAGCCATAGCGATTGCCCGGAGGCCATTCGGAGGCTGCCCGTCGTCTCATCTAATCAGACCGCACGGGCCGTTCTTAACTAAATCTTGATAACGAACTCAATTGAAATCCTGATAGCGAATTCTAGACGAAACGCGGAAATGTACTGGCAGCATTGATAAATGCTTTAAATTAATCAAGTTAACTAATCCGCAGCCACAATTTGCCTTCTTGATCAGACTTACAAATCATCAGGAATTATTTCACCATTTGTCGAATATCATGTTCCCTGTCTTGGAAATTAAGTTTCTCGGCTTTGATATAATGTATTGCGTTCTCTGCGATTGAGAGAATGCCTATGTAATGCATCTGTCATTCTGTGAGAGTGATAGAAATGCCTCGACATCGATGATGAATGAGTTTTCGTCTCGATAGAACAATCGATTTTCAAGGTATCTGTCCCTCTCTCTCTCTCTCTCTCTCTCTCTCTCTCTGTTTTTATAGATATACAAGCATATATGCATACATAATATTATAAAATTTTACATTGATTCTTATTCATTTTTTTGCGATTGTGTTAACATTTGCTGACGCGCCCTCTAATTTCATACAATATTCAGAGGCGGTACATCTTTCGCGAGACCTTCAAGAGCAATTTAAGTCGAGGGTGGTTTTTGGCAGCAGCTGGTGTTAACAGGCTTTCCCTCTGATTCGTACCCTTGAAACCAGACAGGGTTTCATTCTCCCAAGGGTAGTTGCCACTCACGCACGAGGCATTAAAAATTAATAAACCCGCATCAAACGTGAGACGCGAAACATCACGCATCATCGATTTGTTCTACGGGTTATTTTCTTATTTACGAAGGTAGGAAAGTCGACTCCTTTATTTAGGAAACTATAAATTTAAATAAAGAATATTGCCCTTTATTTCCAATTCTATCAATAACCAAATAAAGTTGTTTAATCTCATTCCTGCATTTAATGCATTTACCACAAATCTGCAAGTTTGCACCGAATTGCGCCGTGTAGCTTGATACACGGTTTGGTACGGGGCGGATAAATGCCAGCAACACTGACTTTCCTTCGTCAGCAATATTCGGCTATCTCTTTCACTCGATAGGTTTCATCGACCATATTATTCTGATAATCTCTTTTACGCAGTTTTCATTGTCCGCGAGAGTGTACCTATCCTTTCGCCGACCTATTTCTCTGCAAATAAATTATTGTACATTTTTTATTTAAATAATAATAAAATATAACTCAATAAAAAGTTATGTTTTCCGTATGTTTTCACTTTTTCCCAATACCACTAATGCAAGCTTCAAGTTTTACACGCTGCGAACGGTCGAAAAGAACATTTTGTTGTAGACGAAGCGAAACTGCATCGAATTGTATCGGCAGCACGCAGCCAACTCTTTTCCAGCTTTTTCCGTATGTCCCGAGATTGTTTTGACTGAGTTACCATGGTTACTCTTGGTCCATTTGTTTTTAATCGCTGGACCGTGGAGGAAATACGGGTGTATCCCTCCGCTGTTTCCGTCTGTTCGCCCTGTATTATTGAAATCTGCGTTACAAAACGCGTCAGGCAGAGCTGATTGGCTAAGCCGGAGGGGTTGCTCGGCGCGTTTGTTCTTTCCCTACTTTCTTTACCTCCCTATCTTTTTCACTTTCCCCTCCCCACTTCGTTAAAACACTACCTGGTTTTTAGAAAGTGAAAGAAGGCGCGCATGCGACGTAGCATACATGTTATCCCACGTCTTTTACATTTTTACGAAAAACGCTCTTTGTAGAGTGAATTCCATTGTACGCTATGCTGTTCCACGGTGATGCATAATAAGATGGGTATTTGTTTGAATCTCTTTTGTGGTTTATAAATTCTTTTCGTTAAAAATGCACACATTGTAAAATACATCAGCTATTCTCATATATGACAAAATATATATATCCACGGCTAAATATCCCGAGGGTAGTAGATGTATTCACGGCTCCCTCAGAGAGCGGAACGGACACCGGTAATCCTTTTGATGTATAGTGGCAATCACGAGGTCTTTTACCCTGCTCGGGGCATAGTCTATCGCGAAACACGCCGATTCCTGTGTCCCTGTGGTACGAGCGTGTGTGTCGATACGCGACAGAACGCCTACAGAGATAGCCGTTGCCGGTTAAGAGCGTCGAAAGTAATTACGCGAAGTGCGCGTCTAAAGCCGATGGATTGAAGGGCCTCGCGTCTCTTAGGCAAATCTGAGGTTGCTACTGGGAAGACCCGTATCTCGTCCTCATCGCGGTTGTAGGTCTCGTCGCGCGGAAGGGACTGATCCTCTCGAGTATATTCACCGGACAAGTTACACGGTCCATCTGCTCATCTCCGTGTTGCGATTCCATGAACCATGGTATTTCGAAAGGAGACGGCTAATGCGATTTTAAAACGCCGGTTGATACGCACGCCCGAATTTTCTGCTAGACTAAGCGATAAATCTCTCGCGAGGGAGGGGGAGGGCACGACGTATTGATTTCATCGATACGTGTAAATATAATGGCCACGCGAGGAATGCCTTTTTTCCGCGGCACACTTTTCATAGAAATTGTTCCAAGGTAGCGCGGTATAAATAAATCTGCTCCTTACCTATATAACGAGACTTGAATATTCTTTCGTGAATATTAATCATCACGAAAGTCCTTTAGTTTTTAATATTGTATAATAAGAAACAAGTTATTTATAGTCGCCAGTGACGATTAAAAATTAAAACTGTTGAACAGCTCGAGCCGAGCATCCACGGCGCTCACGCGTGCACTTGTATTTTTATAATTCGACTCGGTCCGATGGACGACGATGACTCACCTAGTATTACTTGAAAAGGACCCAAAAAATAGAGTCGAAACGTCGTATTAAATAAATAAAGGAATATGCCAGTTGGGTTGACCACAAGGTGCCCGTTTTAATTGTATAATAGCACGAACGACGATGCAGTACTGTCTCAATAAAATCTCTCCATCGCATTACAGACTTGACAGAATATCAAAGAAATTTGATCAATCTTAAACGTGTATAGTCTTATACGCCGTTTGATATAATAATCTGATATGTGTTTTTCGAATTACTCGCCCTTATAATAAATGCATATATTCCCTCTCGTAATGCGTTCACGTTATAATTTTATTATATAATACCTCGCCGGTGGCTTTACATATTGCACACATTCCTTCATCCAGCCGCATGCTTTTCGTGACTGGATGAAAGCTCGAGCTATGAATGCGTTACTAAGCTCAAATATTCACCGGTGAATACCGACTTTCGTCTGCGTATGTTGCTACGCTATATGTCTTCGACATCTCGGTGAAAAAATGTTTCAATTCATATAAATAATGAATGTGCTTCGCGTGCAACGAAGTATCGACACGATTTAATACTTTTCACACATTTTCAATCTTCATTTATAAAATTATAAAAACGCCATTTATAAAATGCCGTTTTTACTTTGTCTACGTAAAAAAAGTCATAAATAAACAACCATGTTGAAAAAAAGAAAGAGAAAAATATTTATCCAACGAATACTTAAGCGGTGAAATTTTTATAATGAGTACTTTGTAAGCGCACGTTCCGACGAATAAAATATTTGCCAGAATTCGCGTTGCTACTGATGAGAGAATAATTTTCGCATCTCTATTCAGAGCGACGGTGGCAACGGCGATTATCGCAGCCCCCAAGAGTTAAAGCCCCCGAGCCTATTCAGACGGTGGAATTGGAGGGCCGTAAAGTAGAGGTCTTTGTCCCTTTTGTTGCTGGCCGGTCTTATTATATGTGTCATCGTCACATTATATATTATATGCCACCTTCGCAAGTATCCCCAAACGTGCAGAGATGTAGAATCAAGTCCGTTTTTAATCGGAAGAGCAAGTCTTTAAGAGAAACAACGCGAGCAATGGCAAGCCATGTAATCTGACAATGAATGATTATGATTTTCAGACAAACATATGGAGGAAGGTGAGAGCTCAACGGGGCTGTGTGATTCCTAGAGGCCGAAGAGGTCACAGCGCCTTAGTACATCGCGGACAGATGCTCATATACGGCGGTTATCAGGACTTACGTGGAAGCTCCTCTGAACTGTGGGCCTTTCATTTCGGTAACGTCACTTCGTACCTCGTGTGTAGCCCGCGATCAATAACAATGCATAACTAAGTCCAACTTGCTTGAACGTTACAGAAACTGAGTCTTGGCATCTGCTTTCGTCGAGCGAAAGCGGGCCGGCTGCGAGGCACAAGCACTCAGCGGTTCTGCACGGTGATGCAATGTATATTTACGGCGGCATGACGGATCTTCAAGAAAGGAACGACTGCTGGCGATGGGACGTCAACAGCTCTTCGTGGTCTATGCTGAAGAATAAACCAGGCCCTGGACCTCTTCACGGCCACGCCGCATGCAGATTGCCAAGTTGCATGCTGATCTTCGGCGGTGAGAGCGGCGGTTTGGCGACAAACGAGCTTTGGCGATTTCATTTTGGTACCCATTGTTACATTATTATAGTAAAAAAGTTTTAAATGTACAATATTATATGACTTTCGTAAATATATCCTTCAATTATCTCGACACAGGTACAGAAACATGGGAAAAACTGTCGGTATCAGGACCGAAACCGCAGCCGAGAGCTGAAAGCGTCGCTCTCGCAGTGTCCGAACTGCTGATTCGCGGAACAGGCGTAGACAATTCAAAACCGAGGCCGAGAAGCCAAAGGCCTAGGCTCTCGAGCAATAGAATATCGCCAAACGAGACACCCTCGGCCAGACCCAGCTTTCTCAGGGAAATTTCCAAATTGTCGCAAATAAATCTGTCGAGGCTTAGTCATCCGACGAAGTGCAGTTATTCAGTTCTCAGTGGACACGATGACAATGAAGAGAGCCCCCAAGAGGTACGTGTGCCAAAATTCCAAAATACGTTCTTGATAGATGCGCTTTTATGTGCCAGTTAGGCCTGCATGCAGGCAAACACATACTATCCTTTTCAGCAAGTGGACGTCGAGGTGATCGAACCCTCCACGGGAATGGTGAAATCTCGCAGTGCCAACACGCTGGCCCGCCGAAGACAAAAAGCGTCAGAGGTAACGGCGAGGGCGATTGACGTTAGCAATACTAGCAATACTTCTGGTATGACCAGAGATCCTATTTCGGTGCCAAACTTTCGTGCTTTGACGTTACCAACTCCTGTTCTCACGCCTGTAGAGGCCGCTAGATTGGTCTTCGTAGATCCGGATGAAAATAGCGACAATGAGGAGCGCAAGGAACCGCCCACGTCGAGGCTGATTGAAGTTCAAGAGGAAAGACGGTGAGTTACCTTTGTACATATTCTGTTATAACAATTCGTTAAGAATTCAGTAGGATTCCTACATTCCTTCTATATTCGTTGCAGAGATTTTGCAGCGGTACACCAAGCCTGTCAGCCCACCCGCGGCGAGAGTTACAGCTCGCATCTTTACGAAGCCGCTCTGCAAACGCCAAAAACTCCGACGACGACGAAGATCCCTACCTCCGCATCCGTTCGTTTCGCCGACCTCGAGGAGGGTGAGGAATCGACGTCGGATTACGCGAGTATCGAGGCGAGAAGTCCGGGCGATCCCCTTGCAGAAGACGATTGGGTGTCTGGAAGAAGATCGAAGCCGCACAGGCCGATTGTCTCTTCGTCGACGATACGAGAGGGTCAATTCGGTTTCTGTAACCCGAACTACCTTGGCCTTGATGAAACAAAGTCTGGCCATCACCACCATCACCACCATCATCCGCAACAACAGCAACAACAGCAGCAGCAGCAGCAGGACGGAAAGTATGCCAAGTTACTCAACAGCCCACCCGATAGCGTATTGGAAGACGAACCTGGAAGATCGGCTTCGCAGACATTCGCGGAGCTTTTGGAGCTTCAGGAAATTAGAAGGGTGCCCCGAGCGCCACCGAAGAGTTTGCCGTTGGGTTCGCCGTCGAGAAGAGCGGTGAGCGCGTCGAGGGCTGAGAGGCAGAGGGCAAAAGTAGCGGCGGTAGATGCAACCGATGCAAAAACATCTTCCTACGGACCGGCACCCTTGTATGTTTTTTTGGTTGGCGGCAAAGAAAAGGGTCAAGTCACGGTGTTCGCCAGGCCGGTTTCTCTTTGGAAATTACAACTAGCTCCGCATATCTTCTAAGGATGACCGATGGTCCACTTTAGCTGAGTCATCCGCGCACTGTTAGTGACAAGAAAGAGCACGAGAAGACTGATGATTAAGGGAAGCGTTCGTGCAGTCCAATTTTTCCAAGTTGCTGTGGTGTCTTGCAAATATTTCTTGATGGTAAAATTGACGCTTCAAGAGAGAGATCGACTTTTCGACGTATATCCTGATTTATTTGATTATTAATATTATAGTTAAACATCGTTACTTTTATACATGTTGCGTTCTTCGTTACAAAGCAAACGTGTCTTTTGTTGTAATTGTTGACTTTTTCCGTTCGTTAAAGTTTGTTGGTTGCTATTACCATTTACGTTACATCTTTTACGTTGCACTGTCAATGTCGAAACAGACGTCAGTAGAGAAGTATTGTATAACATGCCAAAATGTAGCCATTGTTTCTGGCCAATGCCATCGGTGTATCAATGCGCAATATATATTTAGAGAAGTACATTTTAAAATATATTAAATTTTATCGTGCAGAAAGTAATCTATAATAACGTAATCGCGCTGCTTAGGTGAGAGATATAGAGATCTTCACTTTTAATTTAATGTGCCGATAGATAGGTAAATAAATAGATAATAATAAATATAGCCAATTATTTCGTTGAATTGTTGCTCTTATGTATTTTATATTTCTCAATGTTTAATTTATTAATTTTATTTATTAATTTATTCATATTTATTAACGATTGGTGGTCGAAAAAATGTAAAAAAAATTATATTCAAATTTTTATTTCTTTGTATAAAGGATTAACATTCTCTTATGTTTAATTGAAAAAACCAAACATGTCAAATTAATATTCCTACTATATGTGACGCGTGTATGTTTAAAGTAAAGCCATAGAACACAATATTTGCGAATCGTGAGTTCATATTGAACCTGCCGATTTGAGTGTTCCCAGTGTGAGTTTTGTAAAAACATGAATGTTCAAATAGAAGCGCAGATCAAGTCGGCGATTGAGATTGTACTGATCTTCAATAATTACTGATAAAAAAAAGAGCAATTTATTAATAAAATATCGTGTCACAATCCTATATTTATTACCGTATCTTTCACTTTACAGGACGTTTACTCGTAGGATATGATAAGACATTAAGCTCCCCCCGATCGCCAAAACTTCGTGTTACTTGTAAAGTAAGCAGAATCGATCGGCCTGATCTGCGCTCAACTGCCAGCGAATGTGAAAATTCAATGTGCGTAAAATATGGAATAGAATTAATGTCAAACGCGTAAGCTTAAACTATTATAGGATCGGAGATACACATGGCATTCCACATTTTATATCTACTAATTACTTTGCGCTATTCCTTAGGATGCAGATTAGGTAAATGTTATTTAATGATATGTTCTTCTAAAGAGAAAAAAATAATTTGGAACGTTCATTAAGGAATAGCATGTAATGCAATTAGTAGACGTAAATCATGAAATATCCTTCGTATCATGCAAAGATAATGATCGACTCACGATTGTTCCACTATAAAGATTATTACTCATCGTTTCTTCTATTCTGCAATAGATAGATTTTTATAAAGAGCTTTGAGCAAACCAAATTAATTGTTCTCTCGAATGACCGGAAAATAACCAAAGAAAATACGCGAGAATTATTGATCTCAAAAATAAAATGTTATGCGTGACAAATTAGCGATACTTTTCAATTTCCGCCAATCTACTTGAAGAAAAGAATGTTTCGAAGATGCCAAAACAATGCTTTATACTCAAACGGTTCGCTCCTCAATATTCACCCGCTGAGACTTCAGACGTTTCAGTGCGATTTGACGATTCTTAAATACGACAAACAAAACTTTTACAATTTCCACAATTGTATATAAATTAAGTATTCTTATTTAGTTTGTATTATATTAAGACACAAACTAACGTAGCACAATTTTTTTTAAACAGCACTCTTTTACAGAGTGCAAGAATTTAGGAGTCACTATAAAAGTATAAAAGAAGGCTTGTGTTCTAAGAGACTATAGTCGCTATGCTGACGTCAGCGATCTCACGTCGAGCCGGTGCAGAATCGCGAATCGATAAAATCGAAAGTCTTTACCGTGATTGTATCTATTGTCGTAGTAAGTTAGTTTTAGTAAGCGTATTGTAAGTAGAGCAGACGATGGGCGATGGGAGCTCTCTCTTGTTCGTGTAGAATTTTTATGCCCGTAAAGGCCCAACACATGTAATCCATCCATAAGTAGCTAAGGTCGACGTGGCTTCTCAATGGGCTAGATATTGAGAGATGCTTGTGTGTCATCGTGTGATCTTCAATGGCGTATTCAAAATAATTTCTCTAATGCTCTGCAATGTGACTTCCGCAAAACGCAATATGACGAACAAATAATGATTTGTAATCATTGTATTACCGGGCAAGTGCAATAACTAGAATTATTTGAAGTGGAGGAAATCGATGGAAAAACGAAGATTTATTACAAATCATCTCTTTACTGGTGTGAAGAAAGACTGAGTTGCATATCGGAAACATCAGTACGTGCAATCGATGTTAATTACGAAAGTTTAGTGAATACACAAAGGGTTGCTCAAAGGAAGGGTCGCTTTTTAAGCAAAGGGTCTCCTGATATCTAGTCTCTCGGGCCTCGAATACCCGAAAATCAATGTTTTCCATTCGTAGAGCTAGTCAATTACATCTCAGTGTACAAAAACTTAAGCTAAATGTTTTCGTACTATCTCTTCACTTTATTGTGCATTTACCCTCGTATAGACATTTCACGTCCCTCTTATGTCGATATTCCGTTCTTTGCGGCTTTTCGTTTCTTACGGCTAGCGAGTCATCTGCATTACTTGTAACGGTTTGTACCTTACAATATACACATCTTCATTCCCATGTGACCATCCACAAACAACGACTTCGTATACACATTCCTTCTCACGGCCAACTATAGGCACGTAACGAAATGAATTGCGTGCAATATGCTAGTTTTGGAGGCGAGACAAGCAACAAATTTTACATTGCGTAGGAATCAAATAAGCGGAAGTAAATGACGTTAGCATACTCTTTGTATAAGCTTTGAACGTGCCCGTCGGGTACATCGCTGTACGAATTGTCGAATTAAAAGGCAAATCCTTCCTACAGAGTTCCGTATTTACAGAGCGCACTATTTTTCCAGAAACCGAACCTTCGGATAGAGAGATGACTCTTGCTCTTAATTATTTCTGTATGTTTAATATCGAGACAATATGTATATGCGAACGTATTACGTAGTACAAAGCACCGAAAATTATTGGTCATGCAAAAATGTGCGTATTTTTCACGACGTCTAGATTGAAAATTTGTCGCGACAGCAAGTGTAAGCACAAATGTTAAGTACGGTTAAACATAAAGCAATAAAAAGCTATTTCTTCGACCGAAGTTCCCGCGAATCCTGAATTTTATGAAAAGTACGATATTTCCGGTGCTTGGTACGCGTGTAACATTGTAAACGACTCCCTGTATGTAGCTAGCTACAGCATCATGTGGATTTATTACTGTTATTGGATTGGACGAATGTGTTTATACATAACGTACGCGAGCATAATCGATATTGCGTTCATTACCCTCTCCTACTTGAATGTCAATGCGAAGGTACGCGCCTGATGAATTTGGGCTTTTTGGGTTCTTGTATAATTAATCTCTGATTGGTAATCATCAACACGTTTAGTTTATTGTAATTAATGTAACAGTTATTAATGGAACAGTATTATTATGATTAGAAAATATACTATACATAATTCGATAATATGAGTTTACATTATATTATATTATTATAATCGTATGCATTCTTTCCCGCCACTGCGTGCTTTTATTTTATATATTAATGGAACTATATTTTAAACATTGTTTATTTGAAATATCATTATTTCTATATATGTAACGTATTATTAAATATTTTTACGCTTTTACGAATGTTCAAACGTTTATGGAGTACATGGTTTCGTGTGAAATTATCGAAGAACTACAACTATTTACTTGGCAAAACTCTCTCGCTCTCTCTCTTCCCCCTTCCTCTCCCTCTCACCCCCCCCCCCCTTTCTCTCTCTCGTTCTTTCACCTTCATTACTTGTCTGTTTCTTCTAAGGAGCATAAATTATCAACAAAATCAAGATGTTTTTTTAAAAGACGATAGCAATGTTATCGACTTCTAAGAAGCTGTAGTCAAGTGCATGCTACGAATTCACGTAAGGTTGCAGCACCAGGTTCCTTTCAGTGGAACCAGTTCCACTTAAAAAAAACTGGTGGTGCAATCTTACGTGAATTCGTAGCATGCACTTGACTAAAGCTTCTTAGAAGTCGATAACATTGCTATCGTCTTTTAAAAAACATCTTGATTTTGTTGATAGTTTATGCTCCTTAGAAGAAACAGACAAGTAATGAAGGTGAAAGAACGAGAGAGAGAGAGAGAGAAAGAGAGGGGGTTGAGAGGGAGAGGGAGAAGGAGGGGGAGAGGGAGGGAGGGAGAGAAAGAGAGAGAGAGAGAGAGATTGAAAAATCCATATTTAAACATTTCAAACTATTCTGTGCTACGCAAGCGTGAAGAGTATTGTGCCATTTTTCATCAGCGCTTAAGTCCTGTTTAACAAATTGTATAAAAATAACATAATGTGAAATTAAATTATATACATGATAAAAAACGTTCTGATGATTTAAACTACAATTCTAATAAGCCTACTTTTATAATCGTATTTACTACAGTTGAGAAAATTTCTCCTGCGTGAGAAAGATAGCGAATCTTTGAACTAGTTTAAAAACCGCTGGTTCCCATTGTTAAATGACCAATCAATGACAGAGCTATTGACGTCAGGGGAATATTTGCTCTATAGGGCGCATGTATGCCTTCTCTCCCTGGAGCGCATATAAAGCTCAGTTTGCGTAATGAAGCCGTGTCAATGGCGGCGGCATGCTTTGAACCCGCGGCAATTCTCACGGCCGGGGAAAGGCGCTCTAGGAACCAAGAAGAAACGTTAATTCTTTCCGAATATCTATTGCCTCCTTTCTTTGCTCCTCTTGCCGATGTCGACGCAACAGGTCGTATTATGACGAGGGTGTCGTTTCTCTGCGAGTAAAATTGCTGCACCGCGCCGAAACACCCCTTCGGATACAATTCGTATACCCCGCTCGAACCGAGGAGCACACAAATTTATGGACCTCTAGAGCCGACACCTGCTCACCTACGTCAGGTACAATTCCTGTTCCCACCTGCGGCTGCCTCGCGAATGACAATTCCTTTGATCGTGCGACAGCTTGGATCGGGAACGAACTCGAAGTTCGGATCTCGTTTCGCTGGGCGAAGTCTCGATCCAAGCGTGCCTGCAGCTTTATGTGGATTTTCGTTAAACGCCTGTTTGTAATAGAATTAAAACCGTATGCTCCGGTTTCTCGTCGGTTATTAGCGTCATTGATCAGCTGGTCTATTGTCTGTAAACGACGCGTAATAAATGAATAGTGACTTGTACCACCCGTCCACGACAGGAGCCTCCAAGATTATTTTTGATTTCCCGTTCTGTTTCTTTGGGTTCTCGTTCGGAAGATGATTAATGACAAATTCGTTATACGTTTCTTAATGGGCAGGTAGGTCGAAATGGTATATCCGCTCATTTCAGTCAAAGGTTCCCGCAAATCTCTCTCTCTCTCTCTCCCTCCTCCTACCCTCTCCCTCTCCCCCCTCTCTCTTTCTCTAAGTTATGTTTTATAGAATAAAATTTAGCGAAAGTATAAAATTAAAAAAAAATGTCTCAATTAAATCTCTTTTAGCACGTCAAATACATCAATATCAAGATTGCATGCATCACTATCTTTAAAAAAAAAGATACAGGCACATCGTTGTATCGATTTATATTTGTTGACCACGGACATCAAGTTGAGGGATCTGCTGTTGTCAAATGGTAATGCTTCCCTTTCATTTGTCCTGCTCTCGAACCTTTCTTCACGCGGGGATCTCTTCTCCATCTCTGTTTCTCTTTTACATGACTGTTTCCAAAGAAACTTTTCTAAGGCAGAATACCGAGGACATCGCGCACAAAATTCTACAGTCTGGTAGTAGACTCCTCGAGCCTAAGCAATCAACGACCGTCATCAAAGGAAATAGAAAATGTTTCGTCCAGCGCGAGAACGTTAAGATTCGAAGAAACATTACACATCTAAGGAGCCGCCATATCAAAAAATAAAACGTAGATGAAACGTATCGGTATTTCGCTAATGCAACGTACAAATTCCATGACAAATGTTAGAGTCACGCAACGTAGGAAACTATAAATTATGCATCAAAACGTAAAACGTCGTAATATGTATAAATTTACAGCATAAAAGTAACAACTATTAAACAGAGAAATTTAAATAAAAATGATCTCTGACAAGAAAATGTAAATACACTTAAGAAAACTATCTAATGTACAATACATTGTGCATTATTTTATTTCCAGTCCGATAAATCCTGATTAGCGACTGATCATTTAATTATACCGCTGAACGTTTCACGTCGGAGCAGCAGTTGGTAGGAAATTAGTGATCCTCTACAGACGAGAAGACCGAAGGAAGAGGACCAAGGGGATAATATATTTCTCCTCGGTCTTAATAGTCTTTCGGCACTCTTTTGTGAGACAGTCGGACCTTTCGATCCATAACCAGCTTTTATTTTTGAGAAACCGAACAAGCACACTTCCGAAGTTCGCTACATAACTCAGAAGCGTTTATAGTTAGCTAGAAATCCATTCGCCCAGAGGTCGTTTTAATACCACCAGGACCGCGGTTACATGCTTTACGACTTGTTGGATACAAAAAGCCTACACCTGTATCTTCGATCCGAAAAGATTTCAAGTTAATGCGGCAATTCGTGATCGCCGAAAAAAAGGGGGATCACGATGATGCATTCCGCTACATCTGTAGCAAAGTAAATATGACTTAGGTCCTATTACCGTTGAAATCTGACTTGACGTCAAATTTTTTATATCACACGGTAGAATTTATATTTACGAATTATCATTCCGTCATTAAAATTTCTTCTGTCTAAAAAAGATATTTTCTGAATACTTATCATTAGCTTCTCATCAATTGTACAAAAAGTTTATTGCAAAAACTATCATCAAAGCCAGTGCTTTAGTTTTTCTCAAAAAATTTCTTAAAACTTTTTAATGCAAGTCTCACAGTCTTGTCTTGAATCACATCTTGAAGAAAGGTAAAACTGTTTCGTTTCTTATTAGTGTCGGTTTGTTTAATTGCAAAAAGAAGAGTTGTTTATAAAAATCTAATAGCTTTAAATAGAATACCGGTCTGTGTTTTCGGTTGTTTTAAGAGCGATATATCACAAAGTCGATTTTAAACAAACTAATAATATTGTTTTTATTTTATTAAGAATTCAATTAACCAAGTTAGTTTAATTAATGTTTCTTATAAGTAATAGAGATGGACAGGGTACTGAAATCTTCACACTATGATTGTAAGATAAATGAGCTATTGTGTCATCCAGGTAGAAAAGATATACCGACAGATATACAATTTACTTGCATTTACATGCTTTTTCGCATTCAATATCCATGAATGCACTTAAAGACGTCATGCAGTGTGGGATAACGTTCAAGGAATCCCAAAAGAATTTTCTTTTCGATCTTCGCTGAGAATCATATCGTTTCATGCCGTATTTTAGAGAACTTTATGTGACAGATTTAAACATTTTATCATGCATTTTATTAATAATTATATTTAGTACTAGTTAAATGTATCTTCAATTTTTTATTTTCTTCAATCATCTCTTTAACGGGAAGGAAAATATTGATGTTCCTGATATAAAATCGATACACGTTCTTCATTTTTGCAAACTTTTATAGATTTGCAATATTGGAAAAATGTCTAAAGGGGTGATTTAATTAAAAGTCTTGCGCGGAATTGCACACTTCAGCCGTATCTATAAACTTTATGACGAAGGTATGCCATGAATAAACAAAGAGTTTTATTTTTCGACTTATGAGATAATTGTCTTTGACGTATCCGGTACGGGCTGAGATTAACTTCTCAAACTGGAAGTTTAAATCGCTTGGCCATGAAAATGTAACGCCTCGCGAAGGCTGACCGTATACGTGCACGCATTAAAAACCCGCACGCAAGCATACGCGATCGGAGAGAGGAATAAAGAACAACGCTACGGGCGACCATTGGCCATCGTATAATTACGTCGACGTACAAGTTTCGCGCGATGGCATTCGCGTCTTTAAACGAAGCGACATCGGGCGCGCAGGACCGCTAATTAAACCGAAAAGCCTCATCCGCTAATTAAATCCAAACGATTAAGCTTATTCCCCACCACCACCACTACCCCCCCCCCCTTCGTTGCCGCGTTTATCGATAATTATTACCTACCAGAACGATCGCCTTCGAAACTTGGGCGGTCAAAACGCGGAGCAATGATTTTGCCTGCGGTCAGAATTCGATGCTATTTGAACTCAATGCATATGCTAAATTCGTTATCCTAAAAAATGAAAGGGAACAGAACAAAGAAGAATGGTAGACTTTGCTGATCTCCGGAAAGAAAAGTAAAAGAAAAAGAGGAAAAATTCAAATAATTAAAACAACATTTTTTTAAATTTAAAATTATCTGTTCTTAAATTAAAGTAATGCGTGTTTTAATTTGTTTATTAATTTTTAAATTTAAGGTAACAAGCTATTAGGAGCCACCTAATAAATAATTTTCTTGAGTAAAGTAATATTTTTTTTATTAAGATGTTTTTTTTATCAGTGTACCAAATAATATGAGCGAATTTTCGATGCGCTATTTAGAAGAGTAAAATGCTATAAACATAGAAATCTCTTTCAGTTACCAGTAATAGATAACAATAACCAAGCTTCTTTAGTCGACATTAACCGGCCAGTGTTTCAATACCGAAAATTTATTGCGAAAAATATTACCTGAGGGCTGAAACCTGCACTTCCCTTCTCTCTCTGGCTGCGTTCGAGGAGACGCAGCTATTAGCATCTCCCCGGGCGTCTCATCAATTCAATCACTGAGAGACATGAGACATACAATATCTCCAGACGTCCGCCTAGAGAGAAGGGAAGTCCAGGTTGCAGGTCAGCAAGGGAAGTCCCTTCGCAATAATATTCTTCACAATAAATTTTCTGTAGCAAAACACTGGCCGGTTAATGTCGACTAAAAAGCTTGATTATTAAATTGCTATAACATTCTCGTCTAAACCTACATTTTACGTGATGATAGATTAATTGTAAGCAGTATTGTTCGTACATCTTAATCAGGTCTTAACTTCTTTAAAAAGTAATAAATTGGTGTATTGTACAAAGGAAAATGCGTGCCGCAACGTAAGTTTCGAGAGACAAAAAAAATAACCGTCAAGTTATATAAAAGTTAAAAAAATATTTTTTGTTATTTATTGAATCTTGTGACTATATGTTAAAACTTTCTTGTTGTTTGTAATTAATTATAAACCTTTTAAAATATTACATGGCATGACAGACAAATAAATGTGCGCATGCGTCAGAGGATTCATCCCCACTTTAGTAGGACTGTCTTCTCGAACGTCTCTCCGTCATTTCTCAACGACCAAACCAACGCGACGTTAGTGCAACCCTAAGTGATCGTATCTTCGTATAGGAAACATTCGATTTTCCATTGTCGCTCTGGAAATGCAGAAACTTCACAAATCGATTTCACTGGCTGCAGAGAAGTTGCAAGTTATAAATTAAATGTAAAAATTAATGTTTAATATAACATTAAAAGAGTACGTTTTTATCTTGGAAATCTGCATATATATATATATATGTTTTTTAAATGTAATAGCATATGATTTTACTAATTCTGCATATAATTTATTTCTGTTAATAATTGCAATAAATTAGAAAAGTAAATTTTATTTTTCTACATTTATTGCATAACCTAATTATTTATTTTCTACACTAGTTGTAGCGCGCACATGGCACCACTAGATCAAAAAACAATAAAATCATGGGTCGAGGAAATTATTGTACCGCAACAGGTTAGTCTAGATTCGTGCATAATTATGTGACTTCTCACGCTTATGTGTGTTTATATGAGGGGAAGGGCCATCGCACACACAAAATTGCATAGTTGCATATACATAGCACAAGACCGTCTGGACCAATGAGCGCGTTATGTAAATCAATATGGCGACTCAATGTTCGATGTTCGTTGGTTCAAACGGTTTTCATGCACATGCAGCTATGCGATTTTGTGTGCGATGGCCCGAGGAGTGATGCAACTTCGCTGCATAGGAGGAAAGGAGGAAGTAAAATTTCATTGTGCGTACAATGTTCGTTTCTCCTCTGTATTGATAACAACGGTTTGAAATTAAGAGGTCAGAAATGTATACCTTGTGAACGATCTTAAAATAAACATTATTCGGAATTTAAAAATATCACCATTTTGCAATCATGTTGTTGTCTTGTAATCATACATATACTGTGTGTCATCTTTGACAAATATGTACACATGCCACTGTACTATTTTGCTTGTCACTAACATATAATACATTATTTTATTCACTTATTTTGCATTGTCCTTTATTCTGTTTCTTGTGCTATATTGAAATTTGTTAAAAGTATTTAAAGACATTTCATATGTAACAATCGTATAAAATTTCTTTCTGCATATGTTTTCCTTCTACTTACATCTACCTTTTATTTGCAGGAACCCATTGAAACGGCAACCCCGATTTCATCCTTCGAGTCTCATACGGAACGAATAAAGCAGATGCCTCTTCATCCAACAGAGTACAATATTGACAATGTGTATGGTATAAATATAAACGATAATTTTTACAGGCACGATGATTATCTAATGCCAAATTATCGCTATGGAATGAACCATAATGCCATTTCTGTCAGCTCTTCCAACGTAAATCGCCAAGGTGGCTTTAAATACGACCCGTCCTCGTATACTCTGCCGAGTACACCGATTTATCACGTGCCATACCAGAGTGCCACTGCTTATCCAAAAAGTTGTGAACCCTTACCGTTATACAGCAATACACATACAGCGATAGCAGCGCGCGATATGATGACCGGCTTATCGTATACAATGCAGGACTATTACGATCACCAGATTACGGCAGTTTCTCCGAATAGCCAATATTATCCTTCACCGAATAATCCTACTCTCCCGAAAGATTCGTGGGAAAAACTACCTAATTTTTATACAAACGGGTTAAACGATCATTATCGTTCGTCAATAATGGGACTCTCGGATTCGCAACTTCCAGGCTTTGTACACAAACCCAGTAAAACCAATAGGAGGAAATGCGAGTGCTCTAATTGTACTGTCGACAAAGACAAAGCACTGCTTGGCAATGACGGCAAACGGCTACACCTATGTCCCATGCATGGATGTGGAAAGATCTTCAGCAAATCGTCGCACGTTAAGGCGCATGTCAGAAAGCACAGCGGCGAACGACCGTACCACTGTAACTGGATTGTGTGTGGAAAAAGATTCACGCGGAGTGACGAGCTGCATCGTCATTATCGCACGCATACTGGCGAAAGGAAACATATCTGCCACATATGCAGTAAAACATTTAGCAGAAGTGACCATCTCAACAAGCATGCAAAGATACACGAGAAGGGAAATGATAAATCTTATGCGATTAGGACTGATACGAACAAGGACAATTTACCCGTGACAAGCATCCGTGCCGAAATCTCGGACTCCTCGACTACTCCTTTGGAATATTTTTCCTTTCTTAAGAATGTATCGGA